TTATTATTTTACTAAGGATGTTTAACAGAGGCTCTGCCAAGCAGTTGTTTCCACGATTGTCTTTTGTTCTTAATTTAGTCATGTTATTTCCTGTGTGTTTTTGTCTGAATATAGATATTCGTAAGCATATTTGTGCAAATACATAGACATTAGCGAGATCTGCCTACAAGAAAATGACAGTCATGAATGATTAACGCTTCTATTAAGCAGCATCCCTCCTCTAAAGACTCATTCATATTAATGAGGCTTAAGTCCTCAGTGAAAACCTAGGGTTCAGCATCAAATGAATGTGGAGGAAAGTCAGGCACTTGAAGCTGGTCTTGACGTCGCTCTTTGCTTCAGATGGTCTCTGAGCCTCTCCTTAGTAGCTCAGTCATGGAAAAGGTTGGTGTCAGTTCATGCTTCACAGAACTGATCTTGGATCAGCCAGGAAAAACTTTTTGAACTTTGGACATTTAATGCAGTTTTATATAAGTATTGATGTTTTGGTTTTGAGTTGTTTTTGAGTAATTGATTATTACTGATTATTGCTTTTTATAAATACGACACAAATTTAAAATACGTGTAATATAGCTTAATATTCAAAATCTAATATAGACTATTTATATATAGTTGGGATTTGGGGGCAAGGATCTCCCGGTCAGCGAATGTCACGGGCCATGTAGAAATGCAGTTGCAACCATCCATGAATTTGTTTCAAAACATGGACCAAAACCTCAGGAAATAATGTCCTAAATACACATACACACTGGTGCACACAGCTCGACACTGACAGCGAGAGAGACCATCCACGATGAAAATCATCATGAATAAATCATATTGAGCCTGATAGAACCTACTCTCCCATCAGAGCTACAACGCTTGTCTAGTACAACACAGCCTTTCCACAAAGTCACATGTCTATTTACAGAAGAGCATTCAGCTCGACTCACTCAACCACAAACTCCAATTTTAAACCGGATGCACCACTTTCAAGTCCCTTGTTCCTTGCTTTCTTTGCTTAAACACTCGCTTTCTTGGCTGAAGTTCAAACCAAGAACTTTTCTTTTTCCCTCCCTTTTCAGGCTTTATCGCAGCCAACCACAGGGACATTTAAGAGCAAATAAAGTGTTTAGTGTGCAGTTTATGCA